GCCGACGATTTTCACGAATCAGAGTTCGAAATCAGTCGACGTCATCTGTCGATGTCGAAGGACGTCCAGGCTTGGCATCCTCACCGCCCGACGTTCTTCTCTCCTCAAAACGCTTGAACTACTCATAGCATTGCATGCGATTCATAGAGTTTTCCCGGTATGCTTGGTTAAGCAAATGAAATGTCTCCGTGAAGTTTTTACGCACAAACACACCCGCGCGCGCGCACACACACACACACACACGCACACGCGCACGCACACGCACACACGCGCGCGCGCGCGCGCGCTGTTTTTTTAATTTTTTTATTGTAACTTTTGTGCCTATCAGAAAAACGGTTTGTCATGGGCTCACCTCAGCGACTGCTGCTTGCGTACTAACGGTCAGAGCAAAAAGCGGCAATTGACAGTTTCTTGTCTAAAGATGCCGCTACGTGCGCTTACACGGAGTAGCCACAGCGCGCTCCCTCTGGCGGTTGGTGCGCTACTTCAAAAGTTCGGTTTCTTCAACACACCTCGTATCTGCGATGCAACTATTGGAGCCCTCATTTTAGACATCTTGTGGGGCTATGATTTGAGTATACGCTGAACTACATAAGAAACACAATATTTAAGGACTTCAAAGTTGAAGATAACTCACGGAAATCATTTGCAGCATAAAAAAAAATCTTTGTCGAATTGAACAATTGTATTAGGTTTTGCCAGTCTTTCAGGTTCCTTGTACATTAAAATTCTTTTATATCTTTAAATCACGACACTTAATTCATTAAAACATTCTAACTTTATGTTTCAGTTATTCTCATGTTTCCTCAAAACTGTTCAGCATCAATATAAAACGTGGAATATAAAATAAATGATCTCACAAAAAATACTAAAGTGAATATGTAGAACGAGACTAGGTGATAAAACTTGTTATGACAAAAAAGGCAGCATGAATAAGTTGCAATGAAGCTGGCGAATGTACATATCCTCAGCCCTATTTTTCTCTTCTCAGCGGTTTGTCCCAGAGGCAGCATTCTAAATGCACAGTTTAGCACAATTATTACTTACCCTTAACTCAAAAATGCGTCGCGCATGCTACCAGTCATATTTGCATAAATGTCGGCATGTGTTCTAAAACCAAGATAACTAAGCAAACAAGGGGTAAGGAAAAAGTTCTTAAATCACCCACGACAAAGCTTCTTAGTAAACTATCTCTCTCGGTATCGAAAAATGAGATGTCATTCGTGCGATTCACTTTCAGTTTTACTATTCTGGGCACGCTCACCTCCTGAACAGAATACTGATTGTAGAAACACCTATTTATTTATTTATTTTTCTCTTCGCAGTGCCACACAGTTTAATAGTCCTTCGTTTAGCATAAGCTACCACTTTGTTCAAATATAAAATAATTGCTACACATTTACCATTCTACCATCCAATCATCACTTGTGGTAAATTCGGTTTCCTAGTTGAAAAATTCAGTTTAGCTTCATCAGCCTATACAGTCGATGTGGGCATTAACGCCCACCAGACGAAAGGAGAGCCGCGCGTTCTCATCGTGACGTAATCAAGCAACTCTGTCGTTCCAAATGAATACCGCTCTATAGGAAGAAAGCACTGTATATATATACACTTTGCGGGCTCTGTTGAAATGTATGGTTCCAGCTTTCAGGCATGCCATGACGGTTCTGAAGCACGCGGGTATTCCGTAATTTGAGTAGTTTTATGTACATTGCTTTTCGGGGATATACACATTTTGTTCGCAGTTGTCACTCGTTTGTTTGCAGTTGTCCTCGGTTCGTCGTTAACTACGTCATTGATGACGCCAATCGAAGGCACTGTCTTATTTACATCATTTTTTTTCATGCCCAATAAAATTGTGTGAATGATGTTAAGCACGCCAGAACAAGTGTAAATACTGTGTCTTGATAAATATGGGAAACAGAGGCGGTGGAAGGGCATTCAACAAACACACGAATTTGATCCTGAGTGAAGGCTCTTTCACGAAGCCGTTGGCAGATGCGTCAGAAGGAGTAGCGTAGCCGAGCTTTGGATGATGAAAGTCGGTAACATTAAAGGCGGCGAGTCGTTGGAATCAGCAACTGCGAAAGAGACGAAAAGTAAGGGAGTAGTTATGAGTTGTATTCTGGCGTTAATATGGAATGACTTGTCGCATGTAGTTCACGTGAAAATGACACAGAAGAAACTTCAAACTGTCACAAGCGTTTGTGGCCGTTTGCCGTTCATTCTTGTGTGCTCATTTTCTGTTGCGTTATGTCACAAGCCATTCTACGATAACAGGTACTCGGCTGCTGAGCCTCAGGTCGCGGTATCGAATCTAGGCTGCGGCGGCAGCATTTCCGATGAAGACGGAAATGCTGTAGGCCCGTGTGCCCAGATTTGGGTGCGCGTTAGAGAACCCCAGCACGTCTAAATTTTTGGAGTGCTCCACTACGGCGCCTCTTATAATCATATGGTGGTTTGGGGACTTTACACCCCACATATCAATCAATTCTACGATAACAACTCAACAAACCCACATTGGTACTCCCTGCCACGAAAGTTATATGTATATTCAAATTCAAGAATAATACAACCGTAAAACTTTTCGGAGTACAATAACTCGCATTGTCTAATGATAAGAAGGCTGCAGAACGTCGCCGACGGCAGTAGTAACAAATGTGCCAGCTATCAGAAAACAGAAACTTAGCTGCGTATACTTCACTATGCATTTGAAGGATCAATAGCAAGCCATGTCAGAACATGCAACCATTTCAAGTTATATCAATTGTAAATTGTTTTCCCGTGCTTACTAGCCTTATAAGCTAAAAGGCCTTCTCTACGGTATTTGACAAACTTGACAAACCATGGCTGATCCATAACATCAATTTATCGCGTTCGATTATGTTAATTTGTTATAATGTAGCGCTCAGAACCGGCCGACCGAGAAGGATCGAAGTAGAATTCTTACATTATTCATGAGCATAACTCATGTTCTTGCCTTGAAATATTGATGGTTTGCTTGCCGAAACTACGCTCAGTGCGTCCAGTACAAGCGTGCATCGTACTTCGAGAGAGCATGTCGTGCTTGCTGTTCGAGAATGTCTAACGTATGCATATATAAAAAAACGGTGCACTCAAAAAAAAAAAAAAAACAGCTCACTTTTTCTTTCAGCATTGGACTGCACCACGTGTGGTTTGTACACCCAATATTTCTAAACACTTGTTATTTTTCAAACACCATGATCAATTCCCTCGTGAAGTTTCTGCTGTATTTCATGTTATCAAGTCACATGATTCGCGTGTCAGCCAAACCTCGGTGACATTACACAAGAAAAAAAGTTTTTCTTTTATTGACGAGCGTACCGCTTATTTATAGGCTCATGTTTCCGTTGAATAAACTTTCAGTTGTGAGTACAGCGCTGTGCATATTCCCTCTCTAACTTGTCTTCGTTTTTTTCAGTGCGCTATTTTCTTCAAATATGAATATGTCAGTGTTACCAGTGAATTGAGTAATATAATATTTTTGTGTACATCTGCCTGACATAGGTTGTGTTTTTATATTCTTCGTGTATCATTATAGAATATCTGCTGTCGCGCATTCTCACTTGTAAGTGCAAGTGTATCTATTGTGTACTTGGTTGTATATGTATTTCTTGTGTATCTTGTTTGCCCTCCTGCAATAGTCCCCTTTGGGACTGGTAGTATGTAAAAATAAATAAACAAATAAATAAATAAATAAAAATACACACTGACTCGCCCAACTTGCCATTTAGTTACTAGACGTCTACCCGCGACCGTAATATTATCTAATACCCATGCGGAGCTGTTACGTGGGCCCAATCAGCAGCCGAGTGAAATTCAGGAGAGACAGCCTGACTATTAGGCTAAAAGATACTCTGAGAGGCAGTGTTAAGACAATGGTAACTACACCCCACACATCAGCTGACAGCAGCAACGGTTATTGACTGCTGATCTCGGTTACGATTTCCGGCCAGATGGGCCTTACTTTAGTGGGAGCGAATCGTAACAACGCTTGTAAACTGAGATTCAGTTGCACATTCAAGATTCCAAGATTCTCATGTGGGCAGAGCACTCTACCATAAGCAGCTCTCTCTCTACACCCTCTTTCTTGCCCCTGTTTTCCCACCCCCAGTGCTACGAAGTAGTATACCGGATGCCAATATCTGGTTAACTTCCCGGCCTTCCTCTTCCCTCTCGCTCTTATCAACTTAACGAATGGATTGAGCGCCCAAACCTAGGATAAGGAAATGAAAGCACGAGTAGAATAAGAAGTTCAGTCCATAACTAAATAAGGAAGGCCCCTTTATGACGACACTTATTTGAACGAAATGTCACGTCGTTTTTGTACATGCTTGCTTTTTTATGTTCACCTTCTTGGTTTTTCCGAACAAATTATCGGTTGGAAGTCAGCACCTGTCCTTGTTTTTTTTTTACTTTGCACTGTGTATGCACTATTATCTCCTTTTTAAGGCAAAAATTTAATGAGAACTTAGAAACAATGATGCTAAGCGATCACCTGGTATCATTGTTTGTTATTTCTCATTAAATCGTGTCTAACAAAGAAAGACGAACCCTTAAATTTCCTCATCTTTCTTTCTATCTTACTTTCTTTCTTTCTTTCTTGCTTTCTTGCTTTCTTCTATCTATCTATCTATCTATCTATCTATCTATCTATCTATCTATCTATCTATCTATCTATCTATCTATCTATCTATCTATCTATCTATCTATCTATCTATCTATCTATCTATCTATCTATCTATCTATCTATCTATCTATCTATCTATCTATCTTCTGTCTGTCGTCTGTCGTCTGTCTGTCTGTCTGTCTGTCTGTCTGTCTTTCTTTCTTTCTTTCTTTCTTTCTTTCTTTCTTTCTTTCTTTCTTTCTTTCTTTCTTTCTTTAGGGCGTGTAACAATTGCCTTGCATTGTGCCACTGGTTTTTATGGACGTTGTACATTAACTATGCATCAATCAAGGATGCCCTGTTTGAACAATCAACTGAGCAGTTCACCGGCGCCATAGTGTCCAGGCCCGTGGAGCCCCGACGAACGATGGCTGCTTCCGAGAACGAACTCCCTTTCGGAGTACGAATCGCCGCTCGCGCCACCGGCGGCCGACGACGTGGACGTCGAGGCGGACGAGCCCCTGCCGGCTCCGGGCAGCACAGCCATGCACTTGATGCGCATCTCGTCGTGCACGAAGTGGCTCGGACGCACCGTGAAGCGCAGTCCCCGCGACGTCACCTGACGACCGGATTCGTGACGCTGGATCGGGTAGTGAACCAGGTACCGGTTCGACACCTGCGCAGTCGCGACCGTGGTCGTAAGTCAACGTTTATACACTCTATAAAATAAAAAGCAGCATCGGGTAGTCCTGACTTGTAGAGTGTATGACCCTCCTTGATGAGTTACGTTAACTCTCTTGCAAGTCACACGACTCTCAGAAGGGAGTATTCTTGACCCCTAAAAGAGTTGACGTGCTTCTTGACAGAGAAAAAATATACGCGGCAAGTCGGAACTCTCGAAAGAGAGTCGAAAGACTTTCTTTTCTCAGAATGTAGAAGACGATGAACAAAACTTCCAAAGCGACCTTGATCGCATTCCCACAGGGTGGTATGTCCGATAGAACTAGAATCGGCGTATCTATAAGAGCGCAAAGTGTTTTCGTCTTGTTTCATATTTTCCGCTTATTTGTTAGAGAAAACTCTTCGTCAGTACCTGTTTATGCATGCTTGTCGTATTCGCATCAGCAATTTCGGGATTATTGTGAACATTTTCCCACTTTTGCTTCGCTGTTTATTTATTTTTGATGTTTAGGAGGAAGAAGAACAACAAGAGAGAAAGAAAGGAGGTTAACCAGGCAGACGCCCGCTTGACTTCCCTACACTGGTGGAAAGTGAAAGGGGAGTTTAAAGATGAAAAAGACAAAGGAGAGAGAAGGGAGAGAGAAGAAAAATGAGCAAATGGGCTGGCGCGTACGCAGTGGTGGCACAATATAAAAGTCAAAGGCGTTCACATAGGCCTGACATCACACGTAGTACTACTGTCCCATGCACTTAGTTATTTAAACATTTTGGCTTAAATTCGACCAAGAGTGCATAAACATAACACTTAACATAACAATGTGTCTTCCGTCAACGCTCCGCACGTCTGTACTAGTACGTGCTATGCTATAAATTACTTGCGCACCCTCGCAGAGAACACCGACGGGCAGTGGCAATGCGTTTCTCCGGTGAGCGCCCTACCCCTGTCAGCATGCCGTATAGTCAGCATACTTCTAAGTGTTCTATGATGTACGTGAAGAACCATGCATTAACTTGTGACACGCTTCCTAATGTTTGCTGGATGGGAGTTAGGCATTCAAATTGGGTCGTACCGCGCCGGCCTCCATCACTGAACTAACCGGCAGTGGAAACTTTAAATAGAAATGGGTTCACCCGCCTCTTTGTCATTGAGATGCCATTGCAGTTCTATGGGTCGTCCGTATCGAGAGTAGCTGCAGGTCACGTTCACCAAGTCGCCAACGTGGTAGCTCGTCTGGCCTCCCGTGATCGAGGGCTTGTCATCCTCGGAGCCTGGGGGAAGCAGAACGCCAAAGTGAAGTGGTATACAGCAAAACGTGGCAGGAATTCCTTTTTCGACTGTAATGTCAAGCATCGTTATAAGTGATTGACTCGATAGCCATCGACAGGCATTGTTATTGAGAATTCAACGTCATTACTCTATCGCTATGGTTTTGTCAAAAAAATTGGAAACGTTTTTCTAGTTTGTTTAGTTGTTTAGTTTAGTTTGATTAGTTTGATTAGTTGTTTATGTATAATTCCGTGGTTAGAAATTAAGCATTCGGGCGTTTTTGAGCAGTAGGGGACATTCGCCTGTTGTAAATGCATGCCATTTTGTCTTAAAAATCGCAGCTTCACCGTTCTGGATATGAGCACGTTAAGATAAGAAACAGCGTCTTTCGCTGTACTCATTTCACTGTACAACAAAATGGCAGCCGCAGTGATGCCAGAGCGTACTTCCAATTATTCAGTGCCGTCAAGGTGAAGGGTCAGTGACGAAGCCACTTTGGCTTTGTATTTTAACTTCAGTAGGAGGGACAAGATGTCTGCAATTTTTAGGGCGAAGCTTCTCTTAGTCTAACATTGTCACTTGTCACACGTAACCGAAAAAAGAAGAGACGAGAAAGAAAACAAGGCAAAAGAAATAAATGCCCATTTCTCGTCTCATTTCTTAGATGGCGTTACTCTGCCGCTACTCCTCGTAGTGCCGCTACTGTCCAATTGGCTGCTTCGCACACTTTGCCTGAGTGCGCAGGGAACGAGTGCCTCTCTTAGTCCCCGTGATAGTCTCCGTACGTGGCGGATCATTGGTGGGGCATGGATGAAGCAGAGCGGCGGCCGCGTTGAATACGCTTGCGCTCGGCTTCCTTGGCTTGCGTCCCGTCGGTGTTACCCACGCGCCGTCTGCATTCTCGAATATGATCGGATGTGTGGACGCATGCACGGACGGATGGACACATGGACGGATGGACGCTTCACCCCACTCATCATCATTAACTTCGTGGATATGTTCGTTTCTGTGTTCTTGAGATGGATGAGGGGTATGAACTATTAATGATATTCACCGGAGATATTAGCGTGGTTTATTGCTTGGTCTCTGTTCTTGATCGTCTCCAGTAATGTAAACCAAGAATATAAAGGAAAATGGTGGAAAATTCAAATAGCATACTGCATCCAGCAACTTTAACATTTTTCATGAAGTCTGTCGTTTCTCGGCGCTAACTGGAAGGCGTAGTTAGAGCCGTCAGTGTTGGTATTCGCAACACTTTTCATTTTCGCCCCTAAATAAGCACCTAGCCAGCTCACGATCAACATATAGAGAAGTATGGCTTAGCACAACGTATTACCCCAACATAAGCACTGAAGCTGGAGCGCTAAACCTGTGCCCACAACTTGCTGAAGTAGAAAATGAATTGATTGATTGATTGATTGATTGATTGATTGATTGATTGATTGATAATTGCGTCCCTTTACATGCAAGTACCGGGTATACCAGAATGAACGCACTTTAGCTTATTTAAAATGTACTACAAGCGTAAATGGGCGCTCAGCGTAATTGACCATAATATCGAAATGAATGCACCTGGCTCTTCACTTGAAAAAAAATTAATTGAAATGTCAAAGCTTATCATTATATCATTATTGCAAACTGAATAGCTTACACCGGCTGATGACAGGAACAGTGTCGCTCCCGAAGTATTCCCCACTGGATATGTGCATTTCGAAGGCAGCATACATAGATGTCGCCTCTGCGCTCCGTTTCTTGCTTACTTGTTTTGGCATTTGCCCTCTCAAGTTGCACTTGTACTTACCGAGGTGTGCTAACGAAGTCTTAGTACAACCTTTTAGCAGAGCCAGGCTCAAAAATCTGTCCTGGAAAGTATTTTAGCTCACTAAGATATCTACAAAGAAAAGAAGGCACAAGAACACAGTTACGTAAAAACTAACCCCCTCCCCAGTATCGTTCAATTTAAAAGAGATTTCTCGCGCGTTCTGAAAAATACAGGCACTTAAACAATCCACTTACGCGTGCTTTTAGCGTCCTGCGCAGCGACGATCTCTTCGCTAGATAACGAGTATGCCTCGGACACAGTGGCCGTACATTTCAGTTTCATGATGCCGTAGGTGAAGTGGCGTGGTTCGGCCGTGAAGGTCATCCCCAAGGACGAATGGTACAGCTGGTCTTCGTCGCAGAGAATGGGATGAAATTTCTCGAAAGATGGTGGAACCTGAAGGCAAAACACAGCAAAGTAGAACGGGTCAACTGCCACAATGACAAAAGTATAGCCATTAAAATGTCATAATACAGCATGACCATACGTGTATTTCTGTACTTAAATACTCTTTCTTGAAACGTAGTCACGCTGATAGGGTCGGAACAGATTTTATGATATTTCTGAAACTGTATTTGTATAAATAGATGACACTCCGGAGAGACATATATGTCATATAGTTAAACATACACGGTGCTCATACCAAAGACATACTAACCACGTCTAGTTATCTCTTTCATGCGTGTGAGTGATGTATACCTACACCTATTGCTATAGCCCGAAAAAATTTATTTTCCTGATGGTGTCTATCTCGCCCATGAATTGAGACACTAACCTGTTCACCGTTGATGTACCATACCAGTACAGCTGGCGGCTTCGACGCACCAGCTTGGCAGGTAACATTTACAGCATCCCCGAACCGGTAGTGTGGTTTCGTGCCACGAATTTCGGGGCCCTTTTTTGGCAAAACTGCGCACGAAACACCAAGGCAGAACATCGGTTAACCATTAGGTGCTGACGAAAGCACAAAGTACATTTAACGTGACATCTTTAATATATATTGGACTCTTCTATTCATTATTTCACAGTTTCACTTGGATACGCAAAAACTCTGCTAAGGTCAATTATAGCTTAGTTCTACAGGCTACCGCAGAACGAACGTGACACTGTGTTGTTGCGGAAAGAACGTTTTACGGGAGCTCGGTGTACTTAATTAGGCGCAAAACGGTTCAAAGCTATCAACTCAAGGCAAGATAATGCAGTTGTAACAATAATAACAAGTGCCTATTGTATTGTTGTGCAATAAACTCAAGCTAGCTATCACGAGTAAACTCAAGCTAGCTATCACTACATCTCAATATGCAGTAGAGTGCTTGACAGTATGCGCTCCGGTGATTTTTTTTCTGTTCTAAGACACCCAGAAAAGGCAAACGCAAACAGCTAGACTGACGTTGAGGCGTCTTTCTGTAATTACTTCGTGCTTATAAACTCTGATATTGATATGTAAGGTTTAACGTCCCAAAACCACCATATGATTATGAGGGACGCCGTAGTGGAGGGCTCCGGAAATTTCGATCACCTGGGGTTCTTTAACAGGCACCCAAATCTGAGCACACGGGCCTACAACATTTCCGCCTCCATCGAAAATGCAGCCGGCGGAGCCGGGATTCGATCCCGCGACCTGCGAGTCAGCAGCCGAGTACCTTAGCCACTAGACCACTGCGCCGGGGCTGCTTATAAACTCTTCCGCACATTCAGCACGCTATTTCTCTTCTCACTAAATTTGAATCACATTAACGTCTTCATAGAATATACAAGGTTGACAAGTGACGTAATGAATGCAGCTTCTGAAGAAAACTGGGACTCCACGATGACGACATTGATGACAAACAAGTTGCGTCTATGTGTAAACGACATGGTATAAGCCTCTCTCTGTGAATAATGAAATAATTTGCGTGTTATGTTTTGATGACATTAGCATGACATTGGAACCGTCACATTGCCGCATGATTCATGGTACTCCAGCACAGCGCTTTCACTGACGTCATTGAGAACCTTTTATTCAGAGGTGGCGTATATAGCTGCACGCTTTCTGAAGTTACCGACACGCTCTTTTCAAGTTAGAGCAATTTATATCTCAAATGGCGCCCGCGTGAGCTACCCCATTAATGTAGACACCCTTGGGGCACGTTCGCAAACATCAAAGCAGAAGCGAAAAAGAAAACGCAGAATCGGGGAAACGGTCTCCTTGCCGATATGCATTTCTGACGTTCTCGCGCGTGCGTCGAAAAGACAGGGATCGGTCGTATAAGGGCGGAAAGAAGGGGTTGCGCTGTACTTGAAACTTGAAAACTATTGACGCTAGGCCACACTCGCGATCGCCACGATTTCGGTGGCACTTAATGCTCGCTTTAGCTAAGAACGTTATAAGCCCCCCACTGATCGCTTCCT